CCGGCAATGGATCGCAACCCTCGGTGTTGCTCCCGCACCTCGCTCAGCCAGTGAGCGGGAACCGGTCTGTATGTGGGATCCGAACCCTCGACAGGAGCGCCGCCGTGCTTCCCAAGCGGCGCACTAGCGCAGTGCGCCACCGGGCCAGCCCAAGAATATCTAATTCTAATATCAATAATATTCTCCATAGTATTTCAAAACAAAATGATCACATTTTAAATCTATATTGGTTGTTTTGGTCTTAGTCTAATTTTTATTTGAGTTTTGCTGGGCTGGCCTGTTAGCTCATTTGGTTAGAGCATGGTGCTGATATCTAATTCTAATATCAATAATATTCTCCATAGTATTCCAAAACAAAATGATCACATTTTAAATCTATATTGGTTGTTTTGGTCTTAGTATAATTTTTATTTGAGTTTTGCTGGGCTGGCCTGTTAGCTCATTTGGTTAGAGCATGGTGCTGTTAACACCAAGGTCAAGGGTTTGGATCCCCTTACTGGCCAGCCACCAAAAGAAAAAAGCTTGCATTATTTGAGTTTTGCTGACAATTTCATGGTGAAAATGATTACAGATTCATTTATATTTATAGACTAATAAATAAGTGCCAATGTCAGGAGCCAGCCCAACTTCTCAGTTTATATTTCTCTCCCTGTACAGATCATTTTCACTCTGAATACAGTGATTGAACCTTAACAGAAGCACTTAGAATGTATTTGATAACAACAGTCAGTAAAATAGAAGATTTTAATTTTTTGTTATCTTAAAGCATTTGTAAGATTTAATAGTAGTCAAATAGATTTGTATAAATATGCTATATTTCCAACAATATGAGTGCAGTTGGCATAGTAAATTAGTTTTTAACAAAAAAGTAGCTTCACCAGATAGAGGGTATTAATAGACCTACCTCAATTTAGTTTTCACAACTCCCAGGAGATACAATTTGTAACTCTGCAACTGAAGAATGCAGTGGCGTGTAAAGAATAGATTACACAACCTGAAATTGACAACAGAAAATGTAGTTGACATTTAAGTCTACAGCGTGTAGGTCAGATTAACACTCAGAAAGACTCTCTCTTATGATAGTCGCAATATCAAAAGAGGAGAGACCTGTTGCTGAAGCGAGCACCTTTCTTTCCTGATACCCTCCTTTGGTTTGGAAAGCAGCTTTTGCATATACTACTTTTGAGATTTTCTTCCTGTTTAGAGCCAGATGATGAGTTGTGGATTGGCTTAAATGACATCAAGATTCAAATGTACTTTGAGTGGAGTGATGGGACCCCTGTAACCTTTACCAAATGGCTTCGTGGAGAACCGAGCCATGAAAACAACAGGCAGGAGGACTGTGTTGTGATGAAAGGCAAGGTGAGGTGACTTTAATTACGTTTAATTAACTAAAAGTCACAGGGGATGTTTCCTTCTGTCCCACTTGTTACACATGTTTGTTCAGATTGTTTCTATTCTAGGTAAATTGACATAAATCAAAGTTGAACCAAAATTCTGATTCAGTTTCTTGAGTCTCTCTCAACTGTCTAGCAAAGTCAAATTTTCAAGAGGATCACACAGGCAAAGAACAGAAACTTTTGGTTCAAGGATGAAATTAACCAGCAACTAATATTCGCATTGTTCCTATGCTGTGTTCTAAATGGTGCCATATATTTATGACATATAAATGGCTTCATTGAGCAAGTCAGAAGTTTGTTTCTACCTTCAACTGTTCTCTCTAAGTAGATGCAGACCTAGTTAGATCTATTCTGGGTTCCACAGCATGAAATATGTATTTGGAGAGCTACATTTGTTTTTTGGTGTTACATGGAGGTGTCATGTGAAATGATTGCTTCTGTGTTTTAAGTTGACCTTAGCAATTGATGAATATTACCAAATTATCTTCTGTTAATAGATGATGAACATGGTGGTTAAGAAGCTGGGTTTTGCTGCTTGACAAATTCCCTCATTTGCAAAATGGGGGTAATAATTGTGCCCAGCTCACTTGTGGGTATGAGGATTAAATCAGTTAATGAATATATTGTGCACAATTCTTGGCCTAAATTTATTGGGTAATACGTTTTAGCCACTATTTTTGTCATTGTGGTTTTTTTTAAATCATGATTAACATGATTTATTGAAAGCTTAAGAAAAGAGTAGGTGTTAACTATCCAAAGAGCAGGCAGAAGAAATCAGAGATCGTCAGGCTTGCAAGGAGCTGGGAGGACAATATGGCTGGAAGCGTGGAACTAGAGGTAGAAGGGTGGGCAGGAGCATGAGTCCTGAGGTTCAAGAAACATGTATTATCTTGGGAGTGGCAGGACCAAATTTGAGTTTATAAATGTAACTGTGGCTGAAGTGTTGAGTACCAGATTCCAGTGGGTTGAGACCAAGTAAGAGATCAGGAATTAAAGGCAACAATACAGAAAACATTTTTTTTTCAGATGTCAGTAGTTAAGGGAAGGAGAGGAGAGGTCATTCCAATGTGAAATCTCTAAGGAACAGGGAGAGGGTAGAATCTGAAACAAAATGAAAAGTTGAGACACAGATCTGGGAGTCCACTCATCAATAGATATTTCTATTGGAAAGATGACTGTGGTTTCAGGTTTGTTTCCAAATTTGGTGTGCTGGGTGAGGGAGTTTTTTCTGGATGGTTTAAATGAACCTGGTTCACCTGAAGACAGATCTGACTGAGGAGGTTGGCCATAGGGCTGCATACAGACTTCCTGTGATCACCATCACTTAGGGACTTAAAAGTGTTTTTAGTTTCTCTCTAGATTCCTCTAAACAGTGGCTTTGACATCTGAGATATAAAATCACATTGGGGCTTTTATCTCTTTTTACATATTTGTAGTCAGAGTCAAGTTTACTGTTTATAGGTAAAACATCAATTTCCCTGTCCTTTCTGTAGTGCCATTTTCTTTTAATAACCTTGAATCTTAGTTTTTCTTCTCTGAGACATAATTACAAGAACATAGCATCAAAGTCAAATAACTGATAATAATTTTTTTCAAAATCTGTGCTCTCTGCAGGATGGGTACTGGGCAGATCGGGCATGTGAGCGGTCCCTTGACTATATCTGCAAGATGAAATCACAAATCCAAGGTCCAGGAACAGTGGAAGTACAAACGGGCTGCCGGAAAGTGAGTATAGAATGTACATGATGATTTAAGATCAGCAAATACTATGGGATACAGTTGGCCTTATTTTTGTATGTGAAAGTGGTTTGTTATTGTCATAGCCAAATGTTTCAACTGTCTAAACATTCAGTGGTTTATTACTAGTGTTTGCTATTACTGCTCTACCTAAAGTTTTCTTTGGGAATTCTCCACAGTTACTATGGGGTTACACATGGTCAGTAGCTCCTTTTAGAATGTCATGGGAATCGAAAGAGAGAAAACAGGGAACAAAATGAGATGCCAAAGGGAGCCTGGAGAGGGTAATGAGATGAAGGCAGGTGATGGGAGAAGGTGCCATCCAGGTGTTGGTAGTCTATGATCCTATGGTTGTTGAGAACATTTCCAGTAGATAATCTCAAGTTGCTGGTAGCAAACTAGCCTTAGTTATTTTTCCCCATTGGTAATATTTCTGATGTGCCTCTGTTGGGGATTCTTCTCCATAGATCACTGCAATGAGAGGCAGGAAATCTAGACTCCGTCTGGTGCCGACAGTAACTCAGTCAAACAGAATAAAGTCACGCAAGCCTGTTGTGCTCCAACCTCACCTGTGCGACAGTAACACCTCCCTGCATGGCTTATAATTCTTTAAGGATGAAGTCAATTGCTTCTGTAAAATAATTTTTAAAAACATAAAGAAACAACAACAGTGTAGGGGTTATGGTGTCATCTTCCTGTCGGACTTCTGAGTTGCTCATCTTCCTCTTTTGTCCTTTCTCACTTCTCTTGAATGAACTAGAAACTCACTTTCTTTCCAAGAATGTTATGGTGTGGTAACAAATCTTAAAATAAACACCAGAAGGCTGAGAATTCATGAAATATAATTTTGTACTGTACAAATAAGCCATAAAGAAAAATAGAGCAGATAGCTGAAAAAAAAAATTATAGAATGTTAGAGATGTGAAGGATCTTAGTGATTATCAAAATTTCTCTCCTACTTTTTGCACTCTGGGAACTCCAGCCCAGAAAAGCTACACAGCTTTCTTCAAATTGACAGAGGCAAAGCTAGTTTCACATGACCTAGTTTGTGGAAATATTTTTTGTGTGGTTTCGCATTCTACTTCTTTTAGTGCCCAAGGGATTCCTCTTTTGTAGGCTGAGTATTACTTTAATTTTGGGGCCATGGATTCTCTTACAGTGTGGGTAGTGTAAAGTTGGAACTGGCACACATCTGTGGTACAGAGTTGACCTTTTTTTCTGGTCCCCAGAACCCCCATCATTTCTTCATTCTGTGGGTAGTTTTCTAGCTCTCCCGCAGAGGGGCTACCCTTAGTGGTATCGTCCTTATGCAAGGACCTCAGTTCCATCTTCCTGCTTTAGCTGAGCTGAGGCCAAATATTGTATTCTGTAGGGACAGTAATATCTCAGCCCTTTGGACCTTAATCTAGATTTGATGCATTCCTGGGCAACAATAATTTCCATTCTACTTTTAGTATTTCATTTATATTTGGTATGTGGAGATTTCCCCTTTATCTCTGAAACTATAATGTGGATTTTTCATTGACTGTAATGTTCTTACCTAGCATTTCTGTACATTTGAAGCATAGGAGAAAAAACACACCAAATCCTGTTGCCAGAAGTTTGATGAGTGCTCTCCTGTGACCAGATGACATAGCTTTCTTTATTAAAATTTTTAAAATTTTTTGGCCGCTGGCTGGGACAGCAATCCAAACCCTTGGCCTTGATGTTACAACACTGCGCTGTAACCACCTTCTAAAAATTCATTTATATGTATAATTTTCATTGCATTTCAAATTCTTTAGATTTGTGTTCTTTAGGCATTTCTATTGCTTATCAATTTGTGTTTTGTGATGGAATTATTAAAATAGTATTTTTTAAATAAATACACATTGCTTGATAACATTTATAGGGCTGGAAAAGACATGGCTTTTACTGCTATTTGATTGGACACACACTTTCAACATTTACAGAAGCAAACCAAACCTGCAAAGATGAGAATGCTTACTTAACGACTGTTGAAGACAAGTACGTAACTATTTTAATTTTATTTTAAAATATATCAAATAGTGAAAGGGTTTCAGAAAAGCCTAAGTGCCAGCCTGCTTTAAATTTTTGAGAAAGTTATGTGTAATCTTGAGGTGTGGTTTGTAAAGGTAGAAGCATTAAAAATAAAATCCTTATCTGGATGCTTTATTGCAAACAATTTTAGTACTTTAAAGCAATATTCAGAAAAGTTTACTAATAATCTAGTAATTGTAGTTTATGGATTTAACTTTTTCTGATCTACTATATGTGAAAATTTTTTAAAGGAGGAAAAATAAGTAAAATTTTTGAGTTCAAAATCCTACTTTCTATGTTTACCACTCCCTCCACCAAAAAAGAGGGCAGAGAGATTTACTGAGCAATTTATTCCGTCTTTCCATTCTTCCATTCTTTTCTTTTCTTTGCTAAGTTAATAGATTGATAGATCAGGAAAAATCACATGGATATATAGAGGGTTTTATGTAACTTTCGATCTGTAGGGTCCCGTCTATCTTTAATATTTATTTATATATTCTTCACCTATTCTTTGCAAAGTCCTGGATTAGGCACAGAAAAAATTTTAAAAATCCATTTCATTTAAAGTAATGAGGTAAAAATTGTTGAGTTTTAATACAATAGATTATATTTATTGGCCTTTCAAGGATCCATGTAGGAGATATTATTGATATTAAAAATCCTTCAGTAAAAATGACAGATGTCATAACATTTGCACAGTCTTTATAAAAGAACTGTATTTTAACCCACATCCTGCTTTCATGTACAGTTAAATGTTTAATTCATCGTAGCACCTGTTATAATGCTATCATCTGAAAATCAGAACATAGATACTTTCTATCTTTTAAGAAGGGAGGTGAACTGTTCCTGTTTAAGTCCATGGGAACATGTTCTGGTCTGCATCAATCTTTTGGTCTATTGGAATACTATGTACAAGATTTTGCATTTGTTTTTCTTATCCGTTTTCTATAATATGTATACTCACGAGCCACTCATTCTGTGGTTAAATTTAGTTCTTAGACATTCAAGGAAACTAGATTGAGTTTGGAACTTTCAATGTTGAGGGGTTGTTCTGTTTAGAGAATAAAAATATTCAGACTATGGTCAAATAAGTTCTATGATTGTTAGGTCTGTCTGCACTCCCTTTCTGCTGTCTTTGGAGTCATCTCTGGCTTTCTTTGCTCCTAGAAACTGGCTGCGCTTTTGCTTTTCTCCAAAGAGAGATTTTTACCTATGTTGCTGCCTGCATTGTTTTATATTTGTCAATTAAGACAAACTTTGGTTGCCTTGCCAACTGACTTGTATTGTTACCAGATTATGCCGAATACATAGATGAGAATCCAGAGGGAGAGAAAGTGTTGGAATTCATGATTCTGCTCCCAGTTCCTTCCAGAGATTGAATCTCTGCTTCTCTCTCTGTATTTCTTGATAATTTTCTGTTTCCGAGCTGAGATACCTGAACAAAATCGGGGAATATCCTTACAGATTATTCCATTTGTATTATCCTGATAATGTTACTGTCCTCAGCTTGCTTAATCAAAAATTGTGTAGCACATTCGGCCTATTTGAAAAGTGGACTGATTTTTTAAATAATGTGTTTTAAAATGCTGTAGTTTTCTCGTTTGTGTTTTCAAATTCTCTTAAATTTGGGAGGGGGCAGAAAAGCTAGTGAAGACTAGAGAGAAATAGTTTGAGTATATTTGAATGATTTTATTCACTTGGCTATATGGTATTTCACCTTCATAAGCTCACATTTTCTTAGTGAAAATTGTATAATTTAAATAACATATAAATATAATGCACTATGTTTGAATTACCATCATAGGTCAAACATAGAACTGAGATACTTTTTATGTGGATAATTTAAAAAATTTACATGAATGTTTTAAAAATTGAGTTGAATGTTAATTTTTTTTTTTTGGAGATATGAGCAAGCGTTCCTGACCAGTTTGGTTGGATTGAGGCCTGAAAAATATTTCTGGACAGGACTTTCAGATATACAAAACAAAGGGACCTTTCAGTGGACAATTGAGGAAGAGGTTCGGTTCACCCACTGGAATTCAGATATGCCTGGTAGGTACCCTGCTTTGACTGAGGGTTTCACCCTGTGAATCCATTGAGCAAAGCCTAGTATCCTTACCGTACCTTTCCAAATAGACTATGTAAATTAATTGTGCTTTTAGTAAGATTTTTAGTTTCCTTTTTTTTTTTCTTTTAAATTTCCCAATGAGTTTGTAGTGTTCTAAGGAAAAAAGGAAGAGAAAATTGCTAGGTTATCTGGTACTGTTCTACTTGAAAAATATTTACAAAATCCTAAATAACCATAAGTGTTCTGAATGGTTAACTTATTTTTGAAAATTTAAAACTATACTAAATAGATATAAAACTTTTCAGTGCAACCGAAATAGAAATATTAGTGTGGTTAAGGTGGGAAGCAAAGGATAGTGCTTATGTGGAACTCATTGTTTCAATATCTTGTATGTGCCATCGTGGTTAGTCTTTTATTTGCCTTGAAATTCACTTTATCCATATAAGAACGTTGCAAGGTAAGTTTAGGTATTTTCATTTAAAAGGGGTGGAAACTGGGACTCAGAAAATTTATGTGACCTGAAAGCTTCTGGGCATGGATTTAGAGTAAATCTGTGTAATTCCCAAATCTGTGAAATTAGCACTTGTGCCACTCTGCCTCCTATAAATTTTGATTTGCCTTCCCTAGTAAGAGATTGTTAAGTAGTTTCCGAAATCGACTCTGAAAGATTTTTTGTCTTCTTTATACAATGATATCACTAGCATACGACATTATTCAATGTGACAACACAGACAATTCAACATCCTTTAGAGCAAATATTTCATTGTGCCTGGATTAAACACTAAAAAAGGAGTAATAGCTCAAGTGTATGGATTTACTACATGGCCTAATACATCCTAATCTTCAGGAGTCATTTTAATTGGCCTTAATGATCAGCTTTTAATAAAGAAAATAGATAAATAATCTGCAGTGTAATTATTAATTATTAAATTATTGAACTTTCTGAAAAATAGTAAGTTTTCAGTTCATTTTTAAAAATAACTGTATAGTATATTAAGAGCTGACTGCATACTTTTTTTTTCTTTCTCAAATCTTGATAGGAGTGCTAAGTCTTATTCTCTATATGAAACTGCTTATCTTTGCCTGTGTTGCTCATTGAGCAGTAGGATTCTGAGAGGTTAACCCTGGAATGTCCTTAGGCAGTAAAAATGGATCAAACTGGAGCCACAAGTCAATTGCAACCATAGTTATGGTATATCCTTGATGGAGGATGTTGGTTTCCTCTTAAGGAAGGCTGTCCTCTTTGACTGAGTGTACAACTTCAGGAGGCACTGAGCATCTGGTCAGCTGAACTGATTCTGGGAGCCAGTGGACCCCTGCAGCCTCAGAGGTCATCAGTCCCAGAGTTGTCAGGTTTTGATTTAGTTCTGTCAAGGGAAGGGGACTGTCATAGGAATCAGAGAAAACTCTAAGAATGTCAGGAAATCAGGGATTTCAGAGAAAATTTTCTGGAAAAGATGTACCTCCCCAGAACTTGGAGACCGACTACTAGGCACTTAATGTCCCTTAACAGACTGGTAATAAAAAAAAAAAAAAAAATTACCTCATTTTAGCAGCTGATATTTTAACAGCTCTATCTTAGTTAATTATTGTTTGGAAATAATCATGACTGACAAACAGAATGATAACCTATATTCCTCATTTTTATTTTATGTACTTCTTTATTTATTAAAGCTAGCATATATCAAACTCTATTAAGCAGGTCTTGATATTTACATTTTAAGATGAGGAAGCAAGTTCAGAGTGCTTGAGTAACTTACCTAAAATCTCCAGCTCAGGCGTGTCTCATTATGAAGTCTGGGAAGAACATGGGTCTTGGGAGACCTACATGACCCCAGGGAAAAAAATAATCTTAAAAATTTGAAAAGAAAGAATAAAGGAAGGAAAGAAGGACTAAAACAATAAACCATTATTTTTGCCATTATGATGAATTTGATCATACTAAACATATTGTATAATTAAATGTCTATGGTGGGGCACCCTGGCAGATGTTAGAAATACAAAATGGTATCAAACCACCCCTCTATATTTGAAATCATAATTCAGATGTGGACATAGACCACACAAATAAAAGCCAAATAATGGCTCAAAGTAGCTCAAACCAGTTGTTGAATGTTCCAGGTGCCCTCCTCTGCATTTTCTCATCATGTGCAGATTGTACCACATCCTTTGACACGCAGGTTTGTACTGTCTTCCGTGAGCGTGGGCCTCCCGCAAGCACCTGTGAATGAATTCTACTTCTGTATTTGATGCAGGGCGACAGGCAGGCTGTGTTGCCATGAAGACTGGGATTGCAGGGGGCTTATGGGATGTCTTGAAATGTGATGAAAAAGCAAAGTTTGTGTGCAAGCACTGGGCAGAAGGAGTAACTCGCCCACCAGAGCCCACAACAACTCCTGAACCCAGGTGTCCAGAGGATTGGGGTACCACCCCTAAAACAAGCTTGTGTTTCAAGGTAACTATCAATTACTAAGCTAATCAGGAATATGGAATCTTCTTCTGCCTAATCACCTAAAGAATTAAAAAAAAAAAAAAACCCAAAAAACAAAACACAATGCCCCTGTTCCATCTGTAGAAATTCTAATTTTGTTGATCTGTAGGAAGCCTGGACATCCATTGTTTTTAAAGAGCTCCTTGGGTGGAGGCTAATGACCAGCTGCATTTAGACCAACAAACACAACAAACAACACAAACACAACTCACAGAACTCTTTCCTTAGCTGCTTTGCCATTAGCACCCCCCTTCTGCTTCTCTGCTTTCTCCCAGGCTTTTTAGTCCTGGTCTGAGCTCACGATTCTGTTCATCTTGCTGAAAATTTCCATTTCCTCTCACACTCTGCTGTTGCATCTCATTTTCGCCATGCTCTCAGAGCCCAGGCTTTTAGCTAACTAAATGGATTAATGCATCCATGATAATGCCACATAGGTATTCTAGAGAGAACCCTCCAATTTTCTTTTTTAACCTCCAATGATTTTTTTTTTTTCCCTTTTTGTCTATTTTCGTGTCCGGCAACGGATCACAACCCTCAGTGTCGTGCCCGTACCGGACCAGGACCGG